AGAGACAGAGAGAGACAGAGAGGGAGAAGAAGGAGGAGGGGAGGACAGGAGAGGACAGGGGAGGAGAGGACAGGAGAGGAGAGGGGCAGAGTGAAGGGATAAAAAGAGAAGGAAAGAAGGAAAAGAAGGAAGGAAGGATGGAGGGACGGAAGGAAGGAAGAGCCATCCAGCATGGAGAGAGAAGCAATTTTATCACATTTAATTCCCCAAAGAGGATTCAAATCCCAAATCTGAAGAATGATTTCTCCTGAATCTATGCATATCACTTCCACACCATCCTAGAGCGAGCGAGTCACTAAGTTGAACCTTGAGGACCATCTGTGAGGCTCAGCACAACTGCTCAGCTCCCCGAGGGTCGATTCTGCACCTGCTGGTGACCTGACCCCACGTCAGACTTGTGGCTTCAGGTTAAGATTGGCAGTGGGGCTGCTTCCCCACACGTGTGCCCCAGGTGTTCCCTCCTGCTCCGAGCCGCCATCTTCCTCTCGCTTTCCTCTCTGCACTCAGATTAGAGAGGTAATCCCCATGGTGCAGGGCTTGACCTCTTCTCTTCTCCCTTAAAAAGAAAGTAGTTTAAATTATCCCTCCAAAAAGTTATTTCTAACCTAAGTGTTCCTTTAAACATGAGCAAATTCCATTTCCACTCAACATGTGTTTCTAGCTATAGATGAATTTGTTGAAAAGCATCTTGCTAAAATATACATTATTTCTCAGACCCCACCCAGCCCCTGTCGCAGGATGACTGGTCCGCTAGGCCACTTCCATACCACCGAGGGGCTCCTATATGTCAGGCACTGTGCTGAGTTCTGGGAATACTGTCCTGAACAAATGAAATCACATCCTTTGGGGACATTCTGATCCATGGAGGAATGAGGGGAGAAGGAAACAATCAAAAGATTTATACCAACAAAGATTTGATTGCAAGTTTTTTTTATGAGCAGAATATATTTATTGAGAGAAAGAAAGCTCTTGTCCCAAGAGAGGGACAGGAGGGTGTCCCGAGTGGGTAGTTCCCCAGATTGCAAATTTTGTCAGGTTTTCGGAAGTGAAGAAAGTAGTACTCAGGTGAGTAGGCCGGATAAGCTGAGATCTGCATGTGAGCATGTGTAAGGTTAGTGCCAAGTAGCAGAAAAATTGTTCCAAGGAGAGAGAATGGTGTGCACAAAGGCCCTGAGGAAGAAACCTCCAGCGCACTCAAGGAAGGCCGGTGGGCTGGGATGTGGCGAGGAAGGAACCAAGTGTTATGAAGTGAGCCTCGTGACAAGCCACAGGCAGGGCGTACAGGAGCTCAGAACCCATGGAATGTCGTCCCTAACATGAGCAGGAAGCCAGTGACAGATGTAAATCTGGAGAGAGAGATTCTCAGGGCTTCACTGCCCAAAACTCCCTTTAGTAGTCACTTGGAAAAGGTACAACAAAGCAGACAAGTGCTGGTGACAGTAGCCCAGGAAAAGAGGGTGAAAGGTGAGGGCAGGATGGAGCATTGGAAATGGGTTTTCAGGGTTTACAAAGATTGAAATCCGGGGCCAGCCAAATAGCTCAGCAAGTAGGTGCAGTGGCC